CGGTCCCTGATGCTTTTGCTAAGCTTGTTCTAAGTAGGTGCTTTAGACCACTGAGCCATCTCTCCAGCCCTAGGTGAGCATTTAGTTGTAGTTGTCTGAATGTTTTGTTTTTACTTCAAAGTATGATGATTATGAATGATAATTATCAGGTAAGGGCCATTTGGATAACATGTATTATTATTATAGATTCTTCACTTAACTAAGTTTAGATTAATTTCTTACTATTTTCTTTAGATTTTTTATAATGTGTAATTAACTCTATGATTTTATGTTTCATGGGAGATGTAGGGATACTTCATTTAAAGGGTCTTTATTTGTTACATTTGCTGTCACCAAAGTATAAACCTCACTAGGGCTGGGGAGATGGCTCAGGAGAATAAGCACTTGCCTGGCAAGCGCAAGGGCCTGAGTTCAGTCCCCAGTTCCAGAAAGAAAGAAAGAAAGAAAGAAAGAAAGAAAGAAAGAAAGAAAGAAAGAAAGAAAGAAAGAAAGGAAGAACCTCACTAGTTTACTCTGTCCAAATTGGCCTAATAATATGTGTAGTAGCAATTTTTATATTCTCTTCAAATCTACTAGTAGTAGGTTAGGTTATCAAAGTTAGTGCAAACTGGAATCTCAGAGAGCAGTCAGAGAATGTGTGCAAGTTATAAGAAAACACTTGAATTACCTGAGAAATCTCTCTTTGTAGTGCCTGGATCCTTGTCTTTGAAGAGGGTTTTCCTTACAGTGGACAGAAGCACAGACAATCAGCCACACACCATGTAATGATTCACCATTCATGAGAAGCTACAACTTGGTTAATCCAGTAACTTTCTCTGGTTTTTTTTTTTCAGGTATTTGTAGTGAGCTCATTCTAAAACCAAAGGAAGTTTCTCAAGAAGAACTTTTGGATATAACTGATCAGTTGAACATGGATCCCAAAGTCAGTGGTATACTCGTTCAGTTGCCACTTCCAGGTATATAATGTTCTTCTATTTATCTCGTTTGGTAATCAGAAAGGAAATCTTTCAATATGATATGGCATGGCAAGTAATTTGTAAAATATATTCAGGAGGAAACTAGCTGTTTTACTAGTAATAGGGCAGTAATTGGAAATTCCAAATCTGTTATGCTTTGCAATGGTGAAAAACTGTGAAATAAAATTTACACGTTGAGTACACATGCACTCCTTGCTTTACATAGTGGTGTGTGACATTGAAAATGATTGTTATCAGTGGGAATGAAAACAATGTTTTGTGACTTTCAAATATTTTGTCAAATATCTCTCTCATTGTAGTTTTCAAATGTATAATAAAATAATACTTACTCAATACACTATAGTTCAAAACAGTAGAACCATTGAGAATTAAAGTGATTGTTTTGCAAAACCACTTACCAAGTGCAGCGTGAGTAGTGCTTGCCTTCTTATCGCTGTACAGATTTTGTCATATTGTTCTGTAAGTCTGGCTCAGCTTCCAACATTTTATCCTTTATACTTTCAGTGTCATGAGATAATGCTGAGCATTCCTCTCAGGTGAAGTCTGTGCAGAGGGCATATCCTGTGGGACATTGTCATTCCCCTTGTAGTCAGTCTTCATGAAGATCAGTTGACCTTCACTCTTTCTCTGGATGTGGAACTGTCTCTTCAAAGGCAAACTGCCAGTATCCACAGTCCACAACACAGCTCTTATTCAGTGTGAAGCTGTTGGGTGCAACTTACCTGTTTTTATGTTCATCAGTCTTTTTCAGTTTAGTTCATCCCTTTGTTTCACACAGGTCAGAATGTCTGATATCTTTGCTCTTTTCTCACCAGTTTTCAGATCTACAAACATATATATCAGTTCCAGCATGACTGTGCTTTGTGTCTTCATTGTACTTTCTTCTTCATAGGCCAGTCCCCCTTGTCAGTGACCCACTTTGTAGAAGCCATGAGGAGGGATTGGCCTGTAAGAAGTGGAGGCCACACAGGCTGCTGTCCTAGTTTGAAGTAAATAGCAAACAAGCAGTGCCCAGTCACCGGCAGTCCAGGAGAGAAGGGCCATGATTGGTCACTGGTTGGGACACATATCTTTTGTTCATGTGGTGATTTATGACCTGCAGAGCTGCCAGCTTTGTTAGCAATTAATATAGTGTAACAGCTGAAATTTGAACTGTGCTGTCAGAACTGGTATTACTCAACTAAACTGTGATTCTGAAATTTGTCATGTTTAAACTGTTTAAAGTGCGGGCTGCTGGTATAGTATAGGTTAAGTAGTTTTGAGTTCTGTAAGTTTTGATCCATAATTTTATGATATACAGAAAGTAAAGTTGCATAGTACTATGACATGGGCTCTTTATAGTGTAGTATTATTTTTCTTTCTCCAGTAATAAAATATAATGCCTAATATCTATTAGAAATACTATATAATTCATATTAAAAATTCACATTTTTAATTATTTTCTTGCAATGCATTTGCACTTAAAGTGATGATTGGGTTAGAAGGGACCTAGAAGGGACCCTTCCAGAAAGTTTTGGCAGTGTTTAGTAGTTTTTTGGCTTATGCAAAAAAGACTTTATTTTGGTACTGTATTTGCCAGGCAGTTATCTTACAGCTTATAGGTTTTGGAACTTCCCTTTCTTGCACATCTACAAGATTCAAATAATTGTGTAAGACATGTCAGTGTTAATTCTCAAAATTTCCATGCTGTTCACAGAAATCTGTGGATTTATTATAAACTCTATCAAAATTCCAGTGGTCTTTTTTTTTCAATAGAAATAGAAAATAGAGTCCTAAAATTCATCTGGAACCACAAAACACCTCCCACATAGGTCCAATCCACATCAAAGAGAACAACACCTGGAGGAATCACACTGCGTTTTTTTCAAAGCTGTATTAATCAAAATAGCACAGGGCTGGCTCAAATAGAGACATATAGATTGGTACAGCAGAACAGAGAACCCTGGAATAAATCCACACTCAATATCAACTTGTCTGGATGAAGGTGCCAAGACTATGCATGGGGCAGAGGAAGGATATTGCGGAAATTGGGTACTCACATGCACAAAATTCAAGTAATGAAAATACCAAGCATTATACAAATACCAATTCAAAGTGTATAAGTGCACATCAGAAACTGTAAACCAGTAGAGGAAAACTTACACAGAAAGTTCTTGACATCGGCCTGAGCCCAAACACAGACAGAAAAAGTAAGAATAGACAAAAGGAATTGCATTAAACTAAAACACTTACACACAACACAGGAAGTGGTCAACAGAGTGAAAAGATAGCATACAGAATGAGAGAAAATATTTATAAATTATACATCTAAGAGATTAATATACAAAATATATGAGGAATTCAATAGCAAAAAAAAATCACATTTTTTAAATGTGCCAAAGGCCCAAATGGATATAAATTATAGACATACTGTAATGATTAGATAAAGTCAAATTAAAACAACAATGCTAATGATATATTAAAAATATGCTCAACCACATTAACATTAAGGAAATTAAAAGTAGAATTACAGTAAGGCATTTTAATGGCAATGAGCATGAAAGCAAAAAGTAAGTGCTGGAAGGGTGGTTGCTTCACTACTGTGGCTAATGCTACAGTTAACAGGAAAGGACAGATGTTTCTTTCACAAGCTGATTTTGTTTCTGTTGGATATCCCCCTAAGAGTGGGACTGCCACAACATGCTAGTTTCAGTTTTAATTTTGTGAGAGGCCTCTCTCACAAATTGGCAAAATTTGGGGTAGACTTGATAAGGTCTAGAGATCTGTTGTACAAAGTAGTGACTATAGTTGATAGCATATTATAGGTTGCATAAGTAGACATTTACCACAAAAAATCAGTGTATCATATGTTAGGTATGTTAATTAGATTAATTTAGCTATTTTATAATGTAAACATGTTTCAAAATATCATGTTGCCAAAAATACATGTTATTTTTGTCAGTTAAAAGTTTATAAGAATCAGTTTCCCGACTATTATATTTAGTTTATGAGAGGTTTCTAACTACATTAGATTTTCTTTTCCTTTTTTTTTTTTTTTTTTTTTTTGTCTTTGAGACAGGGTCTCAGTCTGGCCTTGAGCTCACATTGTAGCCCAGGCTCGTCTCGAACTCATAATGATCCTCCTGCCCAACCTCCCAAGTACTGGGATTTTAGGCATGTGCCATCATACTCAGCTAACTACATTAGATTTAGTTCATTTTTATAAAAATCAAATTTGTATCTGTACAAATTTCACCCTTTTATAAGCAGCTTCTCATTTGGTGTCTTACTATCCACTTGCCAATAGATGGCACTGGTGGTCTGTGTGTACCAGAAACTTCTCTTGGGTCCTACTTCATTGCAAGGTGAGAGGCAGAGTGACCTCCACAAATGTTGGATACTCTGAGAAAGGGTAGTTTCTATCTAGCGGAAGAGCTAATAGCATATATACAAAGTAATTATGGCTAACACTTATTACATTAAGAATATGTCAGGTGCTTTACATTTGTTACCTCGTTGAATCCTCAGTAATTCTGTGGAGTTGGAGTTATTCTGTATGTTTTCCTGATGCAGTGCTAGAGGCAACTGGGAGCTATCACTGAACTTCTAAGTAAGTGAGCTAAAATTTGAATCCAGGTTGACCAATCTCCACGACAATGCCCTAAAACACTGTTAGCTCCCTCTTGGTGGGTCATTGTCAGCTGGAAGGAGTATGAATGCTGGAAATACACATTTGTCTTGCAGTAGTCTTAAGAGGCAGTATAATATAGCGTATTTTCTAAGGCAGGCTCTGGAATCACATGACCTATGTTTGGGTCTTGGTGTTCTCATTTACTCAGGTTATTCTGGTCAATTTATTTAACTTCTCTGGGTCTTAGTGCCCCTACCTGTAAAATGAAAAATAATTCTTATGACAAAAGATCTTTGTGGATTAAATAATAAAAATAAAGGAGTACCTGCCATCATCATAAATTTAGATTTAAAATTATTTCATGATTAGAAATCTGATATCATTTTTAAAAATTAGGCCAAGGATATAGCTCAGTGGCGTAAGTGTTTGCCTGGCAAGCATAAGAACCAGAATTTGATCCCCAGTAACTAAAAAAAAAAAAAAAATTACAGCAGTTTCTTAAGTAAAAATTCAGTTTGCATAAGGATTAAACAGAGTATGTAAGTGGTTTCTACTTTCTGGGGATAGAAAGAAAAAGGGAGAATTGCATCTTATTGAAGGACACTGGCTGTGGCACAAGTGGAGCTCTGGTCACGCCAGAGCTTGCAGCACTGGGGAAGAGTGGAAGTGCCAGGGTCTGTCGGTGCCTCCCTTCCACACTGTTTTCTTGCCACTATCCTCACACAGTGGTGGAATAGGAAGACCCTAGGTAGGTGTGTCCATGTCCTGTACTGACTGTGTGCCTGATCTGTCAGCATCAGTGAGTGACCCTTTGGCCAGGGTAAAAGAGAGGTATGTAACTCATATTATTCTACCCCCTAGGTAGATATTTTATTTGCTTTTAACCTTTATTGAGTTATATCTGTTAAACTGATCTTACATTGGAAGTTAAATGTTTTATGGAATATGTATTTGTACATCAAGTAACAAAAAATAGGATAATGATCTTTTAAAACTGAGAACCAGTGATACCCTTTTCAAACTAATGTAATGAATGGACAGTTGTAATACCCAGAAGCTTGATGCCGCTAGGATTTTGCTATCAACATTTATCATTATGTGAAATTTGATACACAGTGACTTTCATTTAAGAGTGTTAAGTTATGAACTATGTGAAAGCATTCAGATCTAAACCTAGGAAGCAGTAATTACTCATTTAACACTTGGGTGCCTAACTATAAGGATCTTATTTTTGTCTGTGATTTATAGTTAATGATGATGTGAGGGTGATCTGGCTGTGCCATCTGTGACACCATTAATGCCCACGGTTCAGCTGATCTGGCTGGCTAGGCAGGGGTCCCTTTTGTCCCTCAGTGCTTCATGTGTGCCC